TCGCTCACGTAAGATACTAAATAGTAGCTATTCGCGTCCAATTCATCTCCAGATAGTAGCTTCTTCATATCAACTGTATATTTGAACGTAACTAAGAGGCAACCGGAATTAAAAAACAGTAACTTATTTACGTTGCAATAACATTTTCTATTGTACTTCCTAAGATACGATGCAGTAAGGGTTCAAATTTCTCGATGATGTTCCTATTCCCAATGAGCTATGAGCCTATGCAAAAGTGCATTGCTTTTTGATTATGGGTAGATTTTCTTTTGGGATACTACTAATGCGAGCGCAAAGACTTTGCTTGAGTCCAGAACATGTATGATAGATATGAAGGTCAAATGTTATGTTTACTGGGTAAACAAAATGCATTCAATTAATGGTAACATCACTTTAGCTCGCTGTTTCCTTCTACTCGTAGATACACCCGACGATTTTTCGACCACAAAACTCGGCCTGGCGAACATGGCATACTCAAGACGATTAGTTCCAAACGCGGCCGCATTTTTAGTCTCGAAGAGGTTCGAAGCTACCAACGCGTTGCGATGCCCGCTAATCGTGAAGTGGTATTTGACATTTTAAGGAACTTGTCGTTTTTAGCACGAATGGCGCTGATAGTCTTTAGGGGGTCAAGTGGAATAGAAAAAGAACGCAGACAGGAAGCTAAGAAAGTAAAAGCCACAGTCGCAAGTTTTAACGGAAGGAACTACACACGGATCGTATGAAACCGACTGCATCCACCTCTAAGGCTCTTTTGTCGACGTTTGCATTTTTCAATGTTTCAGTTGATATTTTTACAGTTGCACACCGTTTGCAGCGGCGAACAAGTGGCAGCTTTGTCTCGGCTGGAAATATTTCTAATATGCCAAATAAATTCTGACGTTCAATTTATTATGGAATAAAATTGGTCGCACAATTCATACCTTCCCACCCCAACAGTTGTGCTATAACAGTTATCACAGCAAAACATCATTTCACTGCCATGTTAACTATCGCAAACATATATAGAATTTACCCTTATGAACTTAAGAATGTCGTAGGCTTAACCTAACTCCTCCTGTAACAACATTGATAACTGCAATTTTCGAAGGGAAGTCGTTGCCGTGTTTTCGTATACTTTTTCAAAGACGAAATTAGGCGTTACCAAATGCGTTTAACTTCGAAGCAACAAGTGGTTCCATAAACGACTCAGGAGTTCGAGTGAGCTAGCTTGCTTAAAGCGAAGAGACAGGCGATCTATTGGGAAAGACAATGAAACATCTGCCACTAACCAACTCCTTTTCATTACCGCTTGCCATCCGTTCAGGAGGTCTATAGTATTTTCATGGGAGAAAAACCCTCTTTCTAAAGGTATCTGGTAGGTAGGCGGTCTATAGGGGTTCTGAGACAAAGGAAAAAACCATAAAGGCTCGACTTGTGTTCTAGCCAACGCAGGAACTAAAGAAAATTAGGGAGGTCGACGAATCACTTTGGTTAGTCCTCCTGGAAGCGTCCTCTCCTTTTTTCGACCCTCTCAAAACCTTCGCATTTTTTCTCTAAGCGACGGGCTTGTACTTCCTTCACTAGAAAAAAATGCCGAAAAAAGGAAAGTTTGATCTGGTTCAAAAAAAACTCAGAACTGTCAGTTTTGTCTCGTCTTATTCCTGCCTCTAGCTTTGTCCTGCTCTTCAGTCTGCAGCTTAAACAAAATAGTGTACTTCGATGGCTCCATCCACGGCCGATACACTGTCATAGGACCGAAGGATAAGCGAAGGACAAACGGAGACATACATTCGACCCCTGCAAACGTGGCTACTTCGCCTGTTATACGCTGCGCTGCAAGGAAGCGGGTCACACAAGGGAAAGTGCAAAGGGGACGAATGCCCGATGGAGCCAGCGACGACGCTTTTATCAAAAATTTTCCATATGAGATCGGGAAGACGAGGATTCGAGCTGCTTGAGAGATATACCGTGCCCTTAGGTGTCAGCCACAGAAACAGGAACCGGGGACTGGAAAGCCTTGAACTGTCAGCTATTCTTATGCCGGCCGTCATGCACTTCACGTACGTCCGAAGAGAAGGGAAAGGATGGAACAGCAGTGATCTCTGATTCGGCAGATTAAAGACGGACAACACTTATGGACGGATAGAATCGTCTCAACGATATATGTAGATGTACAATAGAAGATACGAGGAGGTACCGCGAACCCATTTGTCGATTAGCTAGGTGACACACGATGAAAAATTACTCAGCACACCGATAAATCGGTTCATAGTAAATTACAACAACACGAATGGATAGTAGTAACAGAATAAAAGGCTTGAAAGAATCGAAGGCACATGCTCATATCGTCAGAGCAGCCTTTACCAGTATATACATACTTACGCGCGTTACACACGAAGGAACAACGCGATCATATCTCGGCTATAACGATCCGAAAATCGTGGAATTTAAAGAAGCCAAAGGCCAGAATCTTAATGTTTAGTTGGCACTGACAGGCTTATGGGTCACACTTTTTATCCAATAGCTGGCCTCACACTGACACAGTTCACATTACTACGCAAATATTGCCCAGTTAAGCTGTTTTTGCCTAAAAATCATTTCGATTAACAATTTAAACACATGGTACAGGTATGTAAACGTTGTGACGGTTAACCCAGATCAAAAGGATTTATAAAAATTTATTTTAACTGTCAATAGAAACTGTAATATAAACTTCGAAAAACTATGGGAATGTAAGTTTGCGGAATGTTTTGTATGAATAATAGTCATATTTTGTATACAGTTCGACTGCCATAGGGCGACATGGCAGCCCTTCGTCATAGAAGAACACGTGGAATATATCCTCTAACTTTGCCCTCATTGTGCAAAAACTGCTGTCTCTTTGGTAAATATTGGAATCCTTTTAGGGTTATTTATGAAACATAACATACTTAGATATAGTCTTTGTCATAGCGCACCGCTCCACGTGGAACCTGCATGTCGATCAGGTATTGTCTCACCGACACAGCAAACCTGCTAAATAAAGCAGTCAAACCTCCCCATATAATTTCATTTCGAAAAGTGACCCCTTAGCTTCTGTATGTATATATTTTCGTACACATACTGCACAGTATTATATTGTTCGACTTTGAAGGCCTAGAGAATTACCGGATAGAGCATATGTTGCTTCTGCAGAAGAAAGCTTTATCGTTAGCTAAAATCCTTAAATGCACAGATACATTGTGCACGGTCGAAGAGGACTACCGGGATGGCACAGTGAGACGAATTCCACTGGAGTGTTGGAAAATCTTGACGGGTTCCGTTCAGCAAGAAACGAACGGGACAATGGTATGAATGGTAGAGATACCGCGAACGAAGACGGCTTTTGCTCTGCTAAAGGCCCGAGTATGGCATCAGCATGTAAGAGTTAGCGGCAGAACCGAAGATGTGAGAAGCGGATCTTTTCTTCGATGGTCCGTCACAGGAGGGGGTTGAGGCGGAAGAACATTCTGGGTTGCGATACTATCAAGTTCGATACGACTAGTGAAGATCAGGGCAGTCAGCAAGAACGACTCGATGCAGAGCGATGCGTAACCTTCGCGTAGCCGAAATACCCTTTTTTCTTGTTCTATCTTTTTTTGGATGCTTCTTTTCTATCGTTTCACATCGTACGCCTTAGAATTGGCATTCAAGTATCATGTATGAGTACAACATAAAGAAAGCAGGCAAATTTCGAAGCGATGTCTGCCTTATATCAGGTACCTTGTACGCGAACAGTGATACTCGCCCAAGCAGGCAGCGGCTATGTGCAAGGACGATTGCCATAGTAAATTCCGTACCAGGTCAGGCAACGGTTCGCTTGAACCCAGAAACAATTTATTCTCTTTATAGTGATCTATTTGGCCCGCTGTTGTTCACTCCGCGGCTCATAGCGATAGACAACGATTGTTTCACGTACCTTGTTGCGCCATTGTACAGATACCATCTACGTTTATTTAACTACACCTTTCTTCTTTCTTAATCCTGTTTCTTTATTAGGGCCTCTACGTTGTTTACCAAAGCATTTAGGATCGCATAGCGCTGAAGCGTTCGCATTGGTTTCAGATAGATGGAATCGCGTCACCCGGCCTTCGTTCTGCGTTGTTGTTCCGGATTCCATGTTTCTATTTTCTAGACTAGATTGCACATAATCGTATATATCTCACTGTCTAATAGATACTTGGCTCGAGTCAAATTCCCGTATATACCTCGAGACTCGTTTTCTGTCTGACCTGGCATCTCATAGGCTGAGTTAATATTTTGTCGTCTTTCCTTGCCGTTGTTCAATCTTCTCTTCGTTTACCGAGTTCGCAAATTTTAGAAGCTGCTCGCGACACCCGAGATGGACATGAGTACCGAACAAGTAGACAAAATAGAAACCTCACATGCGTCTAACAGAAAACGCGTTCTCTGGTGCGTTTTGTGTGTGTGATGCGACGAGTGTGACACATGGCTGGCGGCTGCGTGGCAAAGGGAGAAGGCTATTGTAAGGTCTTTGCTGGCTGAGGGATTCTCTCGAAATAAAAATGTTTTGCTCTTATGAGTTGTCTGTGTAACAACGCGATTTAGAAGATTCGTATCTGTCGAGCGCATCGGACAGTAGCAGCAGCCTCAGCGTCAGACGCGAGCAATGATACAAAAAGCGAACCCGAGAGAAGAGGAAGTAATTGAATATGCCGTCTGTACTGACCTCATCGTGGGATGCATACCGTCTCGTTTAGCGTCCCATTTTACAAGCGGCTGCAAACGACCCATTTCGAGCATTAAAAACAAGCCTAGAACACAACTCAGATGTCCCGGGCGTTTCCCTGAAAAGAATTTATGTATTTCCCATTCGAATACCCTGCACATAAACAGCTTCCATACAGTCATATTTATGTTTTCATGCACTAACTTTTCTTCGTATACTTCTTTGTAAACTGTGTCATGATAACTGCACTTGCGTGTTTCATATTTCTTGTGTATACTTGTTTGTGTCCTGTTCGGCGTCGATATTGCAGAATGCAGATCTTGCCGTCGCTCCGATGACGATCAACTTCGCTCGTGAAAGTGTGATCGACTTCACGAAGCCATTTATGAACCTTGGAATTCAAATCTTGTTCAAGCTGCCTAGCGGGATGCCGGTGAAGCTGTTTTCCTTTATGAGCCCTCTAGATACGTACATTTGGATGTACGTCCTCTGCGCGTATGTCCTCGTCTCGTGCACCATGTTCCTCGTGGCGCGTTTCTCGCCCTACGAGTGGAAGGACCCTCACCCGTGTGTCAAAGAATCCGGACTCATGGAGAACCAATTCAGCCTGGGTGAGTTAATAACTAATAATAACGATCAATATTAGCTCGGCAACAAGGATCCCTTTGTATTACAAGAATATGGTCTAATATGTTGGAATAAATCGTAGGCTTTCTGACAAATAGCATATAGCAGACAAAAAAAGACACTCAGTTTGTCGGGTTTAGGTCTTCGTGCATTTGGATATTCACAGTCCAAACATTGGCTTCCAGGTGAATACACTCCTTGAAAGAATTCCATTAATGTTCCGTTTAATGATACACTTACAGTTATTTAGCATTAAGTAAAAAAAATTTCAATGAGCAGCAAGTAGTGGCTTTTGAAATTGACAAACGACTCAACCTTAAAAACCTTTGAATAGAACTGTGTCCTTTTCTAAACAGGTTTGGAAGACATATTTTAGAGAACCCTGCATCTGTCCTCTGATTCGCTTTGACTTACACACTTTACTAAAACAGACAATTAACGTTTTGAAGAACCTAGTGCTTTAGTTGATCACATCTGCCTATCGGTCGCTTGCCTATTGCCTGACCTCGATCAGGCAAAATGTCCCACAATGCTGGGCTTTTCGATTCCGTCGCCTGTAAGATTAGAGGAGAGCGAGCTACTTGGGAGCGTTCGTTTCTTCTTATTTCCGTATCCTCTTTCTTTGTCCGTATGACGTTTGTCTACGTGTATCGTGAATCTTTTCCATAAACGCTATAGGAGAAAATGGGTGAGCCACTTCGGGTGAACCAAGAGAGCAAGCCGAGAAACATGTGCCTAGCAAAATGGCTCCCTTATTCGCCAAAAGAAAATTGCAACATCTCTTATATGAACACTTGATACGTTTGCATGAAAATCGTCTGTATCAACCACTATGGCCCCATTAATCCTTTCCTCGAAGACCATCTCTCCATTCTTGAACACGTGTTCCACACGCAGGTTTCAAGCTGACCTACTCGCTTCCAGTAGTTGGACAATAAACGCGCCAGCTATTATTTAATATTCAAACTGTCTAGCCCCGCGCTCACCTTATCCTTGAAGCTTCGAATCTTAAATCCTTGCAGTCCTGTGACGTGGCAAAGTTGCTGAAATAATCGTCACCATCCTCGCTTATGTTTACTCATGTCCTCTAGTGTTAACTGTGTGCTAAATCAAATTACGGACCGCCTGTATTTAATACAAGTAGTGAAAGTGGCTATAAATTCTACGATTTCTGCTAATGTCGCTACGGTCGAAGTCGGGCTTACTCTATCGAACGAAATTGTATAGCGACGATTCTCGCTAAGCGACGGGTTCCTTGTCTTATCAAATTGGGCCACAAATCGATGAAATGGAAGCTACTGCGACGCCGAAGAAAAATCGCCACGATCGACTGGTATTCTTTTCGTCTGGGTTTTACTAGTTATAAGTGTATACGTATGCCGAAATGAGGTCACACCGTTCACTCTAATCACCCGCTAAAAAGTCGATATTTTGACCATAAAAGCACTAAGTTTTGCATACGCGTGCTGGTCAAAGTACATAAGATATTTATTTTGTCGTCTTCAAGAGATTGACCGGTATAGGAAAATGGCAAATGGAATTGGGCAGAACAAGTTTAGCCCCTGAAAAACAGAAAGAGATTCGTTCGCCCATAAACAGAGCAAAGAAATGTCATACGGATTTTGTTCTGATAGCCGAACAGGGACTTTACACCATTTAGCAACACGCAGCAGCCCTTTTTATCCACAGTGAAACGGATGTACCGTATAGGCTTTGTTGGTATAAGGCAGATTATGCTTTTTGAAATAAGGCCATCACGCCTGACAGGAATAGCGCCTTATGACGGTTAGACGAAGCACCTGGCGACGTGCTAATTTAGCCTAACAAATTTAAAAATCCGCGTTTAGCTAGTTGTTAGTTGTTAACTAAGTAGTCAAATGGTGCAATATTTCACTTCAGAATCGGAACATTTTTCGCAAAATGCAGCTAATCGTGTCCATATATATGTATACATATGGAAGCGCTAAATCGTAATACCGGTCCCTTCATTATTCGGATCTATGAGTGTGACGTGTACGTTTCTGCAGCATTGCTGATAAATTCTTTTTAACGGAAGTTATTTAAAAACGATCAGTCATCAAAATGTCGCTACTACACACGTCGTCAGGTCGGTGCCTTTCCTACCCTTCCCCCACAAAAGCGAGTGGGGTGCAGCATCCATGACATACTTAGTTTTTTCTCCTTTGCCCGACGTTAATCGCTACCATCAAACAGCTTGCAGTTTTCCGTATCAGAACACTACATCAGCGACGGTCCCTCACCTAGCCTTCGCTACCACTTTGTTGGGTTGCGAAGCTGGGTCATAAAATTAGTTTGTAGCCCAGGTGTCGGCGCCGAGACCCTGTGAGACATCGCGTTCTGCTTGGACGCTTGCAAAAAAAAGATCATTAGGGGTAAACGCACAGTGAGGTTCTGTTTACAGGAGCCAGAGAGTACCTGAATATTGTAAATAGGTTGAGAGCCAGAACCACCGATACAAACATAGAACTGTGTCGGCAGATCAGTCAATACACATAGAGCCGTTTTGCCTCTAACACAACTCCCAGCAACAACGTTGCCGCACGTGCACACAAACACATACTGCAACAGCCTCTACTACTAGCATAGCTGTGAACATATTAAGTGGAACGTGTAGCACGTGACCGCTGATGGTCTGCAAACCATTCAGGCAGTCAGTCAGATTCCAAACGCCAATTGGACCACCAAAAAGCAAAAACTGACTGCGGCCCTTTTGGTGCCTTTATGACTGTCTTGATCAAAACATGCTAATCATTTCGAACGTTTCTTTCCGCTTACAAAACCCGCGATCCGGTTCCGACCGGGGTGAAGTTGATGCGGACCTGACCAACCTTCTTTAGGGGACACCAGATTTCAGTCGAAAAGGCATTATAGAAGATCCCATAGCAAGCTGCCATCACTTTGCCAGGTCTACTTTATTACTGCAGTTTAATTATTCGCCTACCTGGACGCACTGTTGGGTACAAAGAGCATTAGCAACCAGAAGTAAAGATCAACAACAGGAATTATTTAACTCGAACTCTAGCTAGTTCTCAAATGATTGCAAGTGCGTTTCCGCGAGGTTGTTGCTGAAATATTTCTTTTGTTATCTCGTTACCTTTGCCCCAAGTGTATGCCTCTATTTGGCGCCACAATAGGATTTAGCTGAGGAGAAGCCGGACTGCGATGGACACTAGAGAAGAGAGCTATTGTAGACTAAGAGGTACGTACCTTTGTGTCTGAGACCCCAAGTGCCCTGCGAAAATTCCCATTTCAGATAAGACGGCAAGTATAGCATCCATTATGTCCTTAACCGAGTGAGAGCCGACGTTGGCAACTGTTAGCCATGATGTGAACCCTTTTGCAGGGCTCCGTTGGCTGTTGTATCTGTTTTCCTGCTTTAACTCCCAGTTCCTTTCTTTTCTCTTCCACGCCCTCTTCGCTTTTCGTGATGTCTTCCTCTGTAGTGGAATGGCACAAACAGGAGGTCTTCCTTTATGCTGGCGCCATTGATAGCGTCCATGAATTCGCGATGGTTTTTAAGGGCATCTTTTTTTTTTATCTCGTTTTGTCTTTTTTTCTTTTTTAGCTATATGTGTTACCAATGCTATTTTTCCACTTCTCCTCCCACATATACACTTAAACATAGGGCTAAGACGGAGAAGACGAGAGCTGGGTGACTGGATCGTTGAACAACAGCGAAGGCAAATTATACCATGACCCTTTACCGCGGTTTGGCCCGCCGGACTTCCCATTTCGACGGCGTTCCGGCCTCCTTTCCGCGCTGGTCACCACGCCGCTGTGCGTTTCTTTCATGTCATAGTCTCGCATGCTCCAGCGGACGGCTTTGATCTCACGCCTCATTAGAACGCGCCAAGCGTGCGTGTTTGCTCAGCTCTGCCAACAATGGTTACCACTGCTGTTGCCACTGTTGTTGTTTCTGGATCGGCCGATGGGAGGTGGTATAGTACATCGGACGGCTGCGTGCCGATGATATTTGCATCGGTCACGGAGTGAGAGTTAAGCTTCAATGGCTCGGTTTGCATCGACTTCAACTGCTCATTTGACTTGTTGTCAGAACGCTGACGCCAAAAGCTGAAATACGTGATGCCGCGTTTGTTAGCTTAAACTCGTTCCAGTCAGCGTATCCTCAGTCGAAGCTGCAGCTGAATACTGAAGCCTTTGCGGTGAGCTTGCGCAAGGCTGTAGCTGAGGCCATGGACGATAGTTAATCGAGCAGTTAAGAAGATTCATCAAGGAGCAGCGTGAGAAATAGAAACGTGGGTTCCGATCAAAAATGACCTGAATACCTTTACGCCATAGGCAAATATGTGATAAAGTAAACAAGCTGTTCTCTGCTAGGCGATATGTTTAATAAACAGAACGAGCCCTTGTGATATCAAAACTGCTCGTAGACGAAAAAGTTGATTGGTGGATAAAATAAGAGATGCATTTTTAAAATGGCCTTTGTCTGTAGCATGGCTCAATTTAAACAAATGGTCTCAAGTCGTTCCCATCTCCCACTTTTCACCGTTTAGGTCAGAACGAGAAATAAGTTCACTAATTAATAGCTAATAAGAGTAAATAAGAATGAAGAAACAATCTCAGTAAGAATGATATTACTGTTGTTTTTATGTAAGCATACGATGCAAAATTATGGCTGTACTAACAATGAAAACTAACTTGGTCGGTTTTCAGTTATATGTTGTTTCTACAGCTCAGAGCCACCAGTTACTATGGTGGTATATATATATTTGATATGTTAGCAAAGCGTAATGAGCGTAAGCATCATATGCTAAGGTTTTACTTTTGTATCGCTTAGAAGAACGCTGAATATGTTTTAGCTCTTAGAACAGTGTATATATATATATATATATATTCTTTTTTTTTTTTTTAATATCTACATCAATATCACAACGTGCAGTGGGCCGTGATGGCATGCGAGCCTATGGCAAGAATACATCTTCGTGTCAACCTGAATATAATATTGTTAATATAACATCTATCCAAACTAGAAAATGAACGAAGCTGAGCTAAATTTATTCAAACTTTAAAAGCTTTTTGTCATTTACTCGTATTATTAATTGTTTCGGTTTTTGTTTACAGTTTAATTTTATCAAATTGTGACAAAGGACAAGGCAGTGACATCAATAAGGATATGTTAGGACATATCGATGCAGTCGAGCCCAATGGGCTATTCCAGATAACCGTGGCTCGCAGATAAATCGGATACGTATTGTTTGAAAGAGTTCTTAGTGTGTTGATACAATAATCGTTATTGTCAAGACGTCCTACGCCTTTTTTCTTTATATGTTTTTCAAGCGATAAGCACTGTAAGAGGCAAGGGTAAATCGACTGAGCACAAGACGATTGCCGCATCCGAAACCTAGAGGGACACTTTAGACGATTCTTAGGCGGACGGCGGCAAGAATGTGGCCAATGCTGTAGGCCATGTTACATAAGGAGTAGGAGTCATAAAGTGAACGGAAGCTATAAAGGGGATATAGCATGGCAGATGGCTTCATGTACAAATGGCTGACAAGAGATGCATCCATACTTCAGCTCGCCGCGATCATACCGACCGTAGAGGAGCTTGACAAAGGATATACATAAATCCAAGAGACGAATTATAAACAGTCATGCTAGCTAAAACAAGTCAAGTGAGTTTTTGTAAATCTAGTTTTGTGATCAATACAATCATATAATTCTTCTTCAAGTATCTCTTCAAAAACATGACTATCGAACAATAATTCTTACCAACAACCAGCTTTCTTTTTGCAAATTACTAGTGACATACTTAGAAAATTAGATCTTCAAGGATTATCCTCCGTTCTGCTACTATATAATCTACTAAAATTCATTCATCCACTAAAATATCCAAAACTCACAAAAGTATCTATCTTTGCTAACGTATAGCATCTTTCAATCGAAAACATTGACACTCTGATTAAAGTAAAAAATAGCTAAAACTACCTAATATAAGTGGTTGTCAATGTGCGTAAAAGTTCATTAAATTACAGTCGGCTAACTCGATGTAGTTAACCAGAAGTTCCTGTTTAGCTGACATTGAGAGTGCCTAGAATAGTACTCAACAGCTTTTTAGAGCCGCGTGCGTGAGACGCTTTCAAAATTGAACCGCAGGGTTACGTTCAAAAAAGCTCTCAAATTATCGCCGCCGTTGTATATAAATGTATGGAGGTCTAGTTTGTGGGAACAACTACATTACGACAATAGTGACATAAGAACACAGTTCACGGTCAAGCGTCTCCAAGTGAATATGCCCTGCTTTGCTCAATTGAATTACTTGAAACGTTAGTCTTAGGTCACGAATAAAAATATAGCAGGGCGAAGGCGTTACAGACAGCCCATCTATCCAAATGTTCCCGCTTGATGCGCTTGTTACCATGCCACATATCTTTTTTGCATTTCGTGCATTGCATGTTACGGCCCATAAAACATCTCGCGTTTACAAAAGGAAGTCGACTAGGCACTACAAGGTCTAGCAAGTATTTCAGTCAACAATAGTCGACGACTGCATTACACTGGAACATTTCAAACTCTCGTTGTTGTACTTTCTGTTCAAAGTACACTGGCCTTTATTTCCAGAGACCGCTTGCTGTGGGCTATATTCTGTGCAGTGGTTCTTGTCGCTTCACCTTGCTCGACCCCATTCTTCAAGCCCTATTAGAATTCACTTCGACAAAATCCCCTGTTCTGCCATCACGTACTATACATGGCGGCTGTCGCTAAACAAATTCCTAGCGCTAAAAAGTTGCTAGCTAGACATTTTTCTTCCTATTCTGATTTGTTTCTTCCACACACGAACATGGACCCTTTCCGTTCTTAGCTACTATCCAGTGGACACAATACCTCGTGAAGCCTCCATTCGTCAGTTCTTCTCATTCAGCTTTATTGTACCGAAGGGCGCCGATAGTATAACATAGCAGTTTTTACCCAGCTGTTTGTAAGACTTCGCAACTAAAACCCGAGCAGGCTGTCCTTTGCCCCATACCTTCTTCGTTTGGAAGTGGATGACGAGCATGCATGGGCCTTAAGCGTCGCGTGCCACACAAGGGTCGCCACTAGACGCACCTTTGCAGGGTTAGCCTTAGTGTGTAGGCAATACACATTCGTGAAGACCGACTGCTGGAGGGACCATCTCGTACCGGCTCTGTTTCCTACAAAGATTCCTGTTCACTTCCCTTTTCACCGTTTTCTGTTCGCAAAACGTTAATTCTTTCAATATGGGCGGCTAGTTGGCCATTGCACGTACAGCGTCTCGAAATATGCGTTAGTGCATGTGCGTGCCATCGTCCCTATTAGAAATAGCGAAAAGAGCGTTTCCGTGTTTAAGCGGATGAGCAAAAGCACATATGAACGGACGACGTAGCTAGTCTGGCACTGAGACCGAAGCAAAATAGCGCCGTTTCAAACAACAGATATAAGATATGAAGGCTTGAGAATAATTATAATAATAATATAATAACAATAATAAAGCGTCATGGCTCGCATACACGTCAGAGTAGACAATCGTAAGGAAAAGCTTTAAGTAGAGGAAGCAAGCACTAGTGGATACAACGACGCGACAATCCACGGCTGTGATTTATGTCTTTAGCAAAGAACAGTGTCCTGTCATCACCGAAACTTTTGCAGGTCTCTTTCCCTCTATTTTTGTACAAGAGGTTGTTTACTGTCGATAGCAACTAACGCCAACTAGCGATGCGAGCTTAATACCGTGCTTGTAAAGATTGCTTTGTCGCGAAACAACCCTGGGCAGTAATAGTGCTTATAAAAAAGTATTTGATGATGAGCTCAAAGGTCCATAGTCGAAAATGACATATTGGCCCTCCGCAGAAGACCAACTGATAAAATATATGGGTGGTCCTTAAACTTTTCTCATTTCTTCCGAAGCGTTTTCGTTTCTTTAATGCACGAACTTGACGTCACAGTTTGGATGTGGAAAAACTATTACTGAGTAAAAAAAGGCTGCAAAAGCCTGAAAAAACTATATTATACTGCAGCGAACCTCATTAGATCCCGAAAATCCACGTGCATCGTAGATCATAAGCAACACCTCAAATCTCACTGAAGTTACCTTCATTTTTGCAAAGAGTATATTTAATAGCTCACACTTAGTCACCAATAAAATGCAATATTAATCTTATTTTTGTTTCCTAGAAATTCTTTGTTAGCAATAATTAAAGCACTTGGTGAGCTATTGTTAATCGAGCGAGTAACAGCGAGAATTTTAGTATTCATTTGTGTAGGCTAGATTTGTTTTTCTAAACTAACATGGCCTATAACCATAATTAGGAAAAAATACAAATTAGATATATAACAGTTACTTGCAGGTTGCATAGTTGGCAATCTGCGCGAGGCACGGGGTTAATACCGTATACAGATTACCTTACACATACAGCCTATACAGTCGAGTTTCGCTGGAAGAAAATAGAAATAACATGGTTAGGATTATGGAAGACTGTGCAGGCGAAGCCATACTAGGCCAGATCAAGCGCAAACGCCACGCTGACCCCCAAAAAAGGATGACACCAAAAAGGCTGAACTCTGTTGCCTAAGGGCAAGAACCAGGAGGCGCTCTCGGGTCGTCGGTCGCTACCCATAGCGCCATATCCACTTATCTAATGGCCATCTCTGTCTAGGCCGATCAGGATATAGGAAGCTCCGGCAATGACGCTGATCTGCCTCCTATATGTTCTATGTTCGGCTCCTTGTTGCATTCCCTGACCACTTGACAAACGAGACATGAGGCACGGAAGTGAAATTTTAGGGATAACTTCCCCAGGGGGCGACCGTGTCAGAAATTCCAAATGATATAGGTGAAACTGGAGAGTTAGCTGACTCGTGAGACGTTCCGGATATTTCTTCGATAATCCCTTTCTACAAAGAGTACAGCTGTAAATAAATTGGAGAAAAAAAAGGAAAACGTTTGACACTCACAAGAGAGACGAAGCAATTTAGAATAAAAAAAAACAAGCAGCATGGATCGTAGTCAATTTAGAAAAACCCACCTAGACAAAGTATCATGTGGTCAAAGTTGCCTCTACATTTGTATTGAATATATACGAGCAATTATCTATAGGAGAGTGTGTATACGCAGCGGTTCTAGCTATATGCCCGCTTTTCTGAATTCTCAGCCAAAACTTACATTTGTCCGTTCGCTTCTTATCTATGCATTTTGCAGGCAATAGTTTTTGGTTCACGATCGTGACTCTGATGCATCAGGGTTGCGATTTGAACCCGAAGGCAACATCGACACGAATGGTAGGCACCATCTGGTGGTTCTTTACGCTCATTTTGATCTCGTCGTATACAGCCAATTTGGCGGCCTTCCTCACCGTCGAGCGCATGATCACTCCGATCGAGTCCGTTGAAGATCTTGCCGATCAATCCAAAATTGCTTATGGAACACTCGACTCCGGATCAACGATGACTTTCTTTCGCGACTCGAAACTTGAACTCTACCAGAAGATGTGGAGGTAAGTGGCTGCGAGATTTCCACGTGGAACAAGCTGATTTTTTTCTTAAAAGTAACAATACAGTTTAGCTTTCAAGTAAGTTTAGCTTTTTAAGACTAGAGCATATGCCTACCTTTTAGTATAAAAAGCGTATGTTTTATATTGTTACATTGCACACATTTATAGTGCATGCATTCAACCATCGTAACTCTCAGGGTAGGCATTGTTCCCGATCTGTTTATGACTGATTACGTTATATACGTCAATAGTCAAGTCATTTTTTATCAGCGATATTCCGTGTTTAGTGTATCGACGTGTACTAGAGACAAAAAAGACGTTTTCCCGGCAACCAACTAAATGAAGTGGGCACGCGTACACGTCTAGACAAATTTGTGTGAACTACCAAGTTCTCCAAAAAGAAATCATCATAAGAAGTCCGACAAGGCCAAGAAGTTAGCAAGCGACGAATATCCGAAGGACGAAGTGGTGCTTCAATATACTGGGCTCTCTTTCGTACAATACAACACTACCGCCAGCAGTATTTGCAACAAATCTTCTCTTCCTGTTGCGGAGTTCGCCGTGACCGACAATGCGCCTTTCTGTTGAATACTAGGCTTGATAAACCTTGCCGTAAAGCAAAAGGCTGATTTTTTTCTTTCTCTAAGGCAGAAAAAATGGACAGCGGGAGGTCGGCTAAGCTCGGACACGTTGAGATACTGGCAAAATGAAGCGCTTCATATAATGCATTTTTTCCTTATTGAATATTCTGTACAACAGAGGAACTTGGACTCCATGACTGTAACCTATTCTTTAATGTGTACATTCTAAATCGAGAACTGTGCATCCAAAATCGTCTATACCATCTACGCTAAACGGCATAATGTGCCAGTATATTTGGTTCAAGTTAGACTAGAATTCATAGAATACTGGGATTGGGCTTTTTGGTCAGCTAATGATTAGCTGAATTAACTATAGGTCATAGGGTTATGAGAAAAATATGGTGAGTCGCCACTTTTATAAAGCTACGACCTTTCATAGGTGAATAAAAAGGAAACTGAAAAAAAATTGTAGTAGGGAGCTTTTTTTGAAAAAAAAAACACGGTAGGGAGATTTTTCGCACACCAGGACGCCAGTTGATTCGAATGGTCCAAGCACTGAAGAAACGATCGAAGTAGATTCAGCATTGGAGCCCAAGTACATAGCTGGAACTAAATGTCTTTTTGTATGCCTAGATAGACATGAAAATAGGGTGCTTTAGCTATATATATGCTTTAGGTACATAAATATTCTGTCAGTCATTGGACTATTTGTCGGTGGAAAACGGGTGATGTGCTACAAACGAATTTGCGAAAACGATAAACGTAAGTACGTGATCACATTAAGCATTATTGCAATAGGAACATCGCTGAACAAACGACTGCCAAAAAAGAGTAATTTTTATCACCAGCAACAAGGAAAGAAAATCACGTCTGAATATCTATCAGTGACTGGGCGGCTTTATATAAAAACAAAAAAAAAAAAAAAGAATAGAATTCCTATGTCATTGGGCTTTGTACAAATGGACACGTCATACAGATAGATATCTATGGCTTAATTTCCTTGGTCAACATTATTTTTCAGATATATGAAAAACCGTCCTACCGTATTTGTGAGCACGTACGAAGAGGGCGTCGAGAAGGTTCTCGAAGGCAACTATGCATTCCTCATGGAGTCCACGATGTTGGACTATAAGGTACAGCGTGATTGTAACCTAACGGCCGTCGGTGGCCTACTCGACAATAAAGGCTATGGCATTGGCACCCCTATCGGGTCGCCATGGAGAGACAAACTTTCGTTAGCCATACTCGACCTCCAGGAGAAAGGTAAGTATTGTGTATTTACATTTTCACACATGTTTGGACGCTTTGAAAAAAGCTTCTGTAGTGTCCGTCATTGTGACATAATGGCATAGCCAGTTATTGCCAGCCAAAACTGGGTGCCTTATTCACGTATCATAAATATCGAATAAACCAAACACATGAAAGACGGTCGACACATATGAATACTTGCATAAGTTTTTACGCGTTCCATTTCAAACGTCGTCTAAAGTTATCATTGGTGGGGGAATGGCGGCGACGATACGGCTGTGCCTTATGTATAGAGATACTCTGTGGTTGCAAGCCATTCAATTTCCTCGCCTTGTGGTGATCAGAGAGACGGCGGTGATGCTAAGGCGCACAATTTGACCACAAGTCCATACCACCGGGTCAGGGAAACAAAGCAACAGCGTTGATTACGTTTAAAGGGGCGAAATTGTCTTTAGTTTCATCATGACCTACTTAAGTTTCTTTACTCGTTCTAGCATTTCGATTTCCAGAGAGAGCAATTGTTGGGTTTGTGTTCATTAGCATTTCTTTGCGCTTCATTCGTTTCTATCACCGAATACGCCACGTACAGGAACATTGAACCAGCTCTATGTAGTATAGCCGTGAATTACGTGGGTCTTAGCGTGCGAGAACATCTTCACTAAATGTCGTCCAGTCGCCGTTTATTGTCGGACCGCATGTGTTCTGTCATCGACTCTATGCGTGCATGCCGGCTGCTTGTGTATATGCCACGTATGTTCTTTTCCCTACAATCAAAAACGTTAGAACGTTTTTGATTGTAGACACAAGACGTTGTCTAAACACAACGTTGAGCAGACGAAAGAGCAACAATCCTTGCGATCCTGAAACGATATGATTAGCTGAAACGGTAACAACCAGAACCATGACAATGACCGCGTAAAACGAAGGCATAGCAGTGCACCATGGGGGGCACTGGAGAGTTTGAAAAAGAAAAAGGGAAAGATTGCGGGGCATATTAGGACATGTGATTGATGGTTTCCTTTATCGCCCTTTTCGGTACTACTGCTGCTGCTGCTGCTGCTAGCGCAGCTCTCCCAGGGGCCGCTGCGGTTGCGGAAGGGGTAGCTGGCGCTTGCACGTGTTCAATGGACTCAGTGGATTGACGCTGAGGAAAAAATGTGGAATGAAGGAGAGTACGGAAAAAAGTCATCGAAGAGCAACAACAGATCTACTGCCAATGTTAACATTCACTTTTTATAAATGCACCGAAGCCCCTGTCTGAAGTCTCCAAACGGAACAGAAAACGATTGAGCAAAACGGAGCTTCGAAGCAAAACAGCCGAAAACTATGCGTAAGACGTCTAACTCTGACTGACTTCAATCATGTAGGTGCCCATCCAAAGCCAGTAACTTGATAACTTTTGTTATTGGGTGAACCGCAATCCGCTACTTACCGCCGTTCGCTGTTGAAGTTTGAATGCGTTCGATATCCAGCCTTGACTTGATATCATCCTCTGCTATGGTTTATATCAGGAACGCGACACTGGCCGCGATGGCGGCGCCGGCGACAAACGAAGCGAGTATGTGAGATTGTGAAATAACACATTGGATATTAAGTTGATATAGCGTCAAGAAGCCTGTAGATATAACACAGCCAAATGGAGGGAAAGCCTTTTTATGTTTTAAGCTAAAAGAGGCCCATTGACAGCTGTCGCATTACCCACTATAACGGATGTTGTGAATTGCCTAGGACGTTCTGAGTTGACCCGTTCAAATTTTCATTTCAGATAATGAAAAATGAGACAGAGGGGGTTTCTTTGCATTAAAACCGATCTTCGAGGCTCCGAACAGATCGGACGGAGAACGCTATAAGGGATCACGCATGCAGTTACGCGTCTTAGTTAGCGTTAACTACAATATTAGAATGCTTGCACCAGCAATAAAGCCTAGCGAAAAACAATAGGATGTCCGCGTTACGGTTGGCTGTGGGCTGCAAGAATTGTCAGTCAGTCGCGCTATATAGATGGCTTCTATTTATCTTTATACCATTTTCTGTGTAATAACTCCTCTCAACAGGAGCATGCGACACCCTGCTGATATCCTTATCGTACGCAGCACGTCCTTCAGCCGTACAGCCACATACTACAAAGAACAACAACGCGTCACGCAATTTTGATTTCAGTGCGCAATCCAATCAGCCAAATAATTGAAAGAACCGATAGGTTTCCTTCTTTGGCAGAGTTTCCTCCGGATGAACTTCGGCATTGTGTTTAATCGAGCCAACTCATTTATTCTAGACGATTATATCCGAACGGAGATAGGCTGCCGGGACTACTCCAGACGCCTTTTAGTGGCGGAAGTTGCTGGCGGCGTTTGTGGCGATGATTATTGCCACAGTCTCATTGAAGTACAAACGACTGGCTTTTTCGGTTAGTTTGGATACAGCGGCGACCCGGTAAGGGCCTAAAGGCAAGTAAATTGAAAACCTCTGCGCTAGCAAGAATGAGCGTCTGACGCTAACACGGCATTCTGCTCTGGGTCTGGCGTAGCAGCAGGAACATCCCTCAGCCCTGTTTTTCCTAGTTCTCATGTATATAAGGCAAAACCCGTATCGAAAATCGAAAGATCGTTCTTTCATCAGTTTGACCTATAGAGTCTGGTAAAAAAAAAGAGCTTTTTGTCTGTTGCCCAAACGCCTTTTTCAAGCCGTTTGCAGGGTTTGATCGGGTTTTCTTTCCGACCGTATCATGGCCAGAATTCGCTTCTATTCAGAACTTACGTTCTTTCATTTTAGAGCATTCCTGGGTCGAAAGTATCTCTCAGCCGCTGCTCTTGGAGTTACGATAAATGCTTAATTCTGTAATTCTACTCTTCCCGAATTGCCTACCTATACGTTTCAGACTCATGCTATATCTATTCTTGGCTTCGACCGCTGTCTCTATTATTCTCTTTGTCAGTCTAGCGTAGGTTCTCTTCAGATGTTATGTAAAGAAGCATCATTTAATTATCTCAATAAAATCTACTTCAAGTATGCAAAAACATAGACAATGAGCCAAGATGGCGTATTTGTTTATATATATTTTTGTTATTAAACAAAAAGCAGCTGTGCTTCTAACCGAATGGGGGAATAATACCTAATAAACTAGTGTTTCGACCTATAATGAGCATGCTAATTATCCGTATGAGGCCCGGGTGAACTTATCATTTCTATGTATCGATCGTAAGTTTTATATTGAGGGCGTGAACCTTTCTTCATTTTCCCAGAAAGACCGTACTAATAATATAATTCTCAAACAATATAGAAATCATTGACAATGTTAATTGATTTATTCATTATTCAGTTCATACTTACACTCTTATATTCATATCATTGTTATCGCCATTTTAGCAAAGTACTTAGCTCATCGACGTAGGCTGGAGCTGCGGAAAGAAATCATCTCATTCTAATTGTTAGATGCTCATTTTAATATTTACGGGCGTTTGAACCTTCTATGAGCTAGCTCAAACACTTGAGATTTATCGTCGCGGACACTGAACTCCGTCTACTGAATCGTCCTTTTCATATTACCAATTTCAAGCAGATGTGACGGTAGTGCTCGGTACCAGCCGAGGCCACTTAAATAATGGACATTTTTTGCAAACCTTCGTGCTGAGGGAAGGCCGTCTGCTGGTTAGTTCGTCGTGGCAGACGCCTTTTGAAATCTATCAAAGACGGCACCTCATGCGGCCGAACATCTATTTTACGTTGGGCTTGCACAACCAGCACTCGTTTAGCAAATAGTATTTCGTGGTTATTAGATCAACGAGCACGGTAATTGGACAACAAACAGAACAGCTTGTGACGTCCGTCGTAAGCGCGATCGTTTCAAACTGAATACCAGTGTATCTAACATGGTGGCAAAAGGTGGTGAAAATGTAGACATGCGTTGACAATTATTTTCTATGGTTATCTACAGGTTATTGATGAGTTTTCTCGTTACATTTGTAGATCCAAGTGGGGCGCCACTGCACTGCATCTGAGACCGGTACTCAAGCTAATAGAAAATTTCAGTCGTCATGTTTGCTTATACTATTGTCCGCTCGAAGCTTATGTCTTAGCTGAAATGACAATGTCTTTCTACGATCACGATAGCGACGTGGATGATTACGATCACGGAGAGCAATGTCATTCTCGTACACATAATATATGTAACCATTAGAAGTTCGTGGCAGGCAAAGTCAAGCTGCGCGAAGCATCTGATCGGTGTCATCACCCACTCTACGAATTGGCTCGAATTTGTCTAAGCGTCGTTGAAGGCGCTGGAGCTGCCTCAGCGAATGTCTGATACCGGTCTTCAGGCAAATGCTCAAGCAGGATTGAGATGACATCTTCGCCCATGATCTCCTGACCGACACTCCCGTTACTGCCACTCGAGCTGCTACTACTCGTCGAACCCCGCGAAGACCCTCCAAAGCTTCCTTCTCCTCCATGATTATGGCCGTTACTGTTACCCTCAGTATTGTCAAGGGAATTGTTCGAACTGAAATTGTGCTCCGACATGGACAATCCAAGCAGGGTTTTGGTGTAGCCACACTCTTTAAGCAGTTTATAGGCGCGGTATAGGGCGTAATGGTCACTCTCGGCCTTACGAACGATGCGGCGTACCAGATTCATATCCTGGATAGTCTGCAATGATTGCACACAAAATATAAAAGCATAAGAACATCTGATAGTTAACGAAATGAGAATCGATAGGCTGTACTTATATACGGCTATAATAGGAACTTGACAACACACTCTTCAAATCTCTTTCGCCTTCCTACTTCATTCTCCTGACACTGTAACAAGCTGCAGCTATGCTCCTGTAGCTGCACTCAAGTTCTTGGCACTCAATTGCAAAAAAATTAGGCTAAGCGGCCAACTGTGGTGATGCTGTCTTGGTGTTTTCGCCCGCTCTCAGAATCCTTTGAGCATTAATGCTGAGTGCAGGCAGGCATGTCCCCATTACGAAGGTTATCAGGTCATCCTGCTTGCTCGCTTGCCCGTCTGCCTTCGCTTCTTTCTCGTCGTTCGCCTTGTTCCCTCGGTGAGATTTGTGTTCCAGGTCACGTTCGAGTCGTCCTAGATGCCTTGCTACCTTTCCAACGTAGGCTCTACTGGCCGTTGCTTAAATATGGGCTCTGGGCCACAAACGGTGGCCCAAGTGCGCTGTTGACTAGACGTTTAGCCCAGACATGACCCTTGTCTGGTTAGCCGGCACACACTACTACAGCGGTCAATACATTTCGTGTTTTCTTTATTGCAATAGCGATGGGCGGCTAATGCGTCAATATACAGGTAGTACTCGATGCACAGATACAGAAAGGTATATACACGTATACTTCTAAAACCGTTGCTTGACAAGTAGCTTACGCGCTCAGCTCATAACGGCTGATCGGAAAAACCAGCGCTAAACAAGTAAAAACAACTAGAGTTGGCTCACCCTAGAGACCGTGTACTGTGTCGGAGCTTATTGAAATAGTTACCGTACACCTCGTAAATGTGCGATAATGTTTCATACCCGGATTTTGTATCCCTCAATGATCCGTCGTAATACAACGGGGTCGTCAGGACTTTCCTGCAAGAGGCGTCGGCACCACTGAAGCGAGTCTTGTGAGCACTCCTCAAGCGACAACTCAATTCGACCTGACTCTTCATCCTGCGGAACATGAAACCAAGATGATTGTACAGGAGTACATAAAGGCGTCTCTGTTATTAAAGTTCTTAACTAATTAAGTTATCATTATCAAACTAACAGTACGTAACATAATAATCCACATCCTTGACTCGATAGGTAGAACTATATATGATTCCATGTTATTTATCTCGATGTGTCTACCTATGTACGAAAACGACTAATGCCCAATAGCGTCAATATATGGATTGAACAACAGCTGCCAGATGGTTTTGTGAGCGTTCAATCCGTTACGTACCATAATGCACGTGAGCACGATTAGCTCTTCAAAGGAAAAGTGGAGTGCAAGTTCACGGAGCAGGCTTCCGTAGCAGTGGCAGTAGGCCGTGCCTAATTACAATGGAAATTTCTATTTGATGATATTGTGAGCAGTAAACGATTCAATAGCATACGTAAGCCCGTCAATGAAATGGACCCTTAGACGATCCAGTTTGCTCGCCTGCAGTGGAAAATACGCTCCGCTGGCAGAGAAGGTATGCTTTGCCCTGCGCGGTGTCGGCAAGTCTTCAAGTGAAGCGAACTAGTGCAGGGATTAGGTTGAAAGAGAAGTGGAAGCGCTTTGGCATAGACGAATGGGTATAGGAGGACAACTAGCACTGCTTGAGATACTGCTACTTAGTGACGGGGTCTGCATTTTATATTAGACACATGACTTAGATTTGAATTCAAACTTTCTCTTGGCTCTCAACCGCCTAATTTAACCAGCGAAAATCAGGAGCCAACAGGGGGCAGTACCCATTTATACAGCGACAAAGATGAACATCTCGTCGCCAATCCCTATGCCGTCTCACTAGCAACTCCACAATCAGACTACTCTTTTACGAATATCTCCATTCAGATGCATTATCTACCTCAACTTCTTGTCGCGAACAACGTGTGTTCCTTTCCAAAATTATATATGCATAAAATATATGATTATCTGGAACTGGAGTTGCTAAAAAATACGTTATCTTTATGTAATCTATATTCATATCTTATTTGGAAAGCGTGCAGATGCTCGACCGTCGTATGTAATAGACCGTATTATTATTATGGATTTTTGCAGTTAATAAATAAACATTACCAGAAAAGCTATTTTCTACCTATATACGTGATCAATTGCGCTATTTGAGCAAAAACTTAAAGTAAGTTCATGGTGACGCACAAAACATTGTATCTAAAATATTTCGTACTTTATTTAGATCTCCTATAATAAAATAGATAGAATTTAAATTAATATTAACGATTATATTTGCATTGATTTAGGTAAGTGTCGTTATGTAACAGGAGAACAGAGATCGTATTCTATTTTACCAAAACCCTTATACAGAATTTATTGCTTCCAGCAAAAAGCTGTGTACGAGATAACATGGTCTCGATCTACGTGTTTCCTTTAGTCTCAATTATTTAAGGAAATTATTAGATACGAGTAGATAGAATCATGTAAGCGTCCCACAGTGCAGCAAAACGAGGGCGCGGTGTTGAGCGATCAAAAGCACTACCATCAAGTTAACGTGCATCGCTGAGATGATCGCACACATCTGACTAGTTTAAAGACAAGTGAGGATCTAAGGCTTCTAACGTCAAATGGTTCGATCTTTAACTTGCGGCGCAGATATACGGTTACAGCTGGATCTAATCTTTACCAGAATCGAGGATAGCTGTGCTTCTCTATAGCAACCGGAATAGCTATGGAACACAATGTAGAAAGACAAAACAAAATCGACCAAAAAGGGGGGTACAAAACATAGCGGGATGATCGCTTCAGCTTTTGCTGCCGCTTCTCCGCTGGCGGTCGCGCATGGATCACTACGTCGGCAGCCACCGCCATCGCCTCATCCAGCAACCACTTTGTACTGTCCTCGTCTACACATTGCCCTTAGATTATGCCCATACCCCTGATACTCGTCCCAATAGATTTGGCTGTCCTTTACTTTGTGTCTCGGATGTCAATCGGGACGAGGCGGGGCAATCTAGCCTGGCCAATGCGTTCGATGCTGATAGCTGGCGCCCGTTTGGGAATCTCTCAGTAATTTCTCGCAAGAGACGTCAACCGCGTCATAGCCGCTCTTCTCCGCTTGCCTCCAATTGTTCCCATTGAGCCTTCTCTTCCTTCAGCTCTTTCGCACTAGTTCGTCCACTATATCCCGCTGTATTTCCAGCCACTGCTGGCAACTTCATCTTATCATCCGGGTCATTGTTGTAAAGCATTTTCCATTTAGTCGGCACCATGGCCTGTCCTTGTGGCCGGTGCTACTGGCGAAAACATGCCCGTTGCTGTTTTCATCACCACCACCGCCGCTGCCCTTGCTGCTCTTCTCTGAGCAAGCAGGACCTCTTCAGTTCTTGCTTCCCCTAGTCTGCTTCCATTGAGCCGCTGTCAATTCGCTATTTCTCAGCATCTTTTTTCTTTCATCATCTAGTGACCTCAGGCTCTGTGGTCCACAAAGCTGCTTTCATTTCTGTTCAGCAAACCTAAACGTAGCAAGCGAAGGCGTATGTACATCCATTAAGTATGTTGATTAGCAAAGAGGGGCTGCTAGCTTGAAGGGGGCAGTGCTTGTTTCCCGTAGTCGGTTTTTGCGCCTGCATGAGTGTCATCCATCACAACGCAGGCGGGACGCGACGCATATTCAATGGATCCTTTTTGCCGATGGTAACACCGCTATCACGATTTCAGCCGCTGCCTCTGTCAGCAGCGTGTTGAAGAAACTGTTATAGCCGGCTCGCCTGTGCTCGTCTTCGTCAGTCACCGCCGCTTCGTCCTCTTCATGATTTATTCTCTCTCCTTTTTCCTATTTTCGCCACTGGGCGATAGGAAAAAGAGAAAGAGAGAGAGCCACTCGGAGAGGAGGATGGAAGATCAGAGCGAGGTCAACGGCCGAACAAGCTATGGCGGAGCAGACGACTCTCTATCCGTCGTCTGTGGAGCTGGCTGTTGGCGCCATCCGAGGAGGGTGGCTGTCGAAATGATGGGAGTCACACCCATGCGCACAAGGATTGCCCAAGATTTAAACTTTTCCAAAGTCAGCAGTAGCATCGACTAGGCAGAGGCTTTGACTAGTTTCAAGTCCGTTTGGCTGAAGCTGTCAGGAGGTGCGGTTAGGCGGCTACAGCCAGTCCGTTGAATTGGACCGAGTCGAGTTGGCTGGGCTCGAATAGTCGTCATCGTCGTCGTCGGTAGTAGCGGCAGCAGTAAATCAGGTGGGGACGATGTGTGTGTGACACCGGGGATTTTCAATGGGACAAGCCTTCCACTACCCGTTAAGCTATAATAGAAGAAGCCGTATAGAACCTAAAGTTCTGTTCTATGCACCCAAATATTTGTCTATATGCGAATGCTACGACTGCAGTTTAGCTGATCTACTCCAAATGTAAATACTTGTTTCCGTGCTATTTCCACGATAAATGTCGTTCCATTCGTGGATGTAAAGATGTTTGGGATAACTACTTCAGTGGGAAAAACAAATTTGGACCCGGATTTTACGGGTACACTGAGTAAGCCTCAGGTCCACAAATAGAAAATTAATAGACGGGCGATGGAAGAAAACAAATAGCATTGCAACTAACTCGGTTTTAGTTTTGCCTATCATATCTACTACATTTTCGCTCACCAAATAAAGCAAATAGCAAGTATAAATACTAAACATTTAACTGTCTAATAAAATAAAAAATAAAAATACTCTATATATATAAAGCTAACATGACACAGGTCTGCTCTTGGAGCGACAGAAACTGTTAGGCGCCAAAAAACAAGAAAAGTTTGCGTAAAATCTCACAGACGTCAATTATAAGAGGTTATTACGTGTAGTAAACGAGAGTCTGTAATGGCGTTAGCGGTGCCCAATATAGCGATTTGCTGGTCGAATATAGTAAGAATAGACTGCAACAAAACCTGTTAACATGTTTGTCCGGATAAGAGCTACCTTGTACAAAGTAAAAGAGCAGACGGACGTTGTGAGGGACAGTGTGATGACATATATCTAGCTATGGAGCAGAAGGGTCTATGGGAAGAAACGTTGGGCAACGAGAAGAATGCAGCCTGCCGATCGAAATCAATTTATTTCTTAAGGGGGAGACAGAGACAGAGAGAGAGAGAGAGGGGGGGGGGGAATAAATGAACGAAGTTCATGCGATATTAGGCAAATTGGCATAAAATAATACAGCGAAATTGATACATAGTTTAATCGATGTGGTTTTAACTACTTCTGAGACACTCATTGAATTAAGAGCATTGCTACGGTAGGCATAAATGAGTGCAAGCGCTACCTTTACATCAAGTGCCATTGCTTCTTTGACCACTGTTATGGTAAACCGTTAATGGGCTCAGGAACGCCACTGACCATATCAGTAAAATCGCCAAATCCAAACTATTGGTCAGTTGCTACGGATATCACTTCTACTAGGATTTCTATTAGGATTATATTTACCAGGACGCTCGGAGTGGCTGCATTAAATCAAAGTAATCGATTGCTGTGAGCTGAAGGTATCTTGTAATCTGTTTATATTATTTTAATTTTACATACAACCTAATATTTATAGGTCCATGTACAATTCGAATAAGAATACGTCTTAGAGCTAAGAAGCTTGCTTATTTGAACACGACAAGCCGATAATATTACCTCAGATATTCGACTTTCCACGGTACAAATTTCGCTACTTTAATAATGATGTCAGTAAGTCCCGTTGGATTTAAGGAGGGACAGAAGCATTCTAGAGCTAATAAGAAAATCCTGCAGGAAAGCCTGTTATGATCTCCGGCTCCGTTCTCCTCTCCAATCGCTGTCCCAAATTTCAGACAATTACTTTGGGATCGGTTAGGGCAATTGTTCTTTCCGTTGAGTTGCTATGCGAAATCAGCAGTCAACGATGGCGCAGGACGAGGACAAAGCAAGAAGACCTGGGGAAGAAGGCTACGTGAATTCCTTGTATGCACGGAAAATGTCTCGTTCTAGCTGCGAAGTAGGTAGAAAAGAGCGTCCATTAACGGTGATACGCCTTCTACCGACTACACACTGTTGAATCATCGTCAAGCGGAAGAAGCTAAAGCGCTGACTTGCATTGCCTCGCTTACTCTGTGAGTGAGCAACTTTTGCGGTAAAGTACTCCAGCAGCAATCACGATCTAACAGGCGAGAGGGCACATGATCGGCCTAAAGACCACTCGAATACGAAGACAAAACGACTAAGAAAAAGGTCATCGCCGACAAAAGGTATTGAAATATGTCTAATTATCTGGACAAAAAAAGTCGTCGCACGTCGCCTGACCATTGATATACTGTGGCTTTCTATTTATCCGCTCTTCAGCGCTCAAAGAGACAGCTTGCTTGTCGCATTTAGGGAAAGTAGAAACGACGACCGTAGCTCCTGTAGAAGTAACTACTGTCGGGTCTTTCTTTAGACCTCACTTACCTCGTTTACTGAGAAAAAGCCGCTTAGAATTCAATCCGAAGCTACCATCGCGGTTCTTTTTAATCGATGATTAAGCGATAAAAATGAAGCTGGAAAAGACCCTAGTAGATGAACGTAAGCGGGACAGAGTTCGGAACAAACTGGACTGAACGCAGGGGGTGGCAAGACTGCGACACGACATCACCGATGACTAGTGGGTTCCAGCGGTTTCAATGAAAGCATGGAAAAGACCTTAATTAATCGGTTCAATAACGATTGCTTCAGTTCCTCAGAGAGCAGTCATCAACAAATTGCCCGGCAGATCGGAACATAGACTTCCTACATGTCTGCCCTATTCTACAACTGCAGCTATATCTGCACCGCATTATACTGCAGGCATTGATGGGAAAAAGATACAAGCTCGCTTCCGCTACGAGCTGCAATGAGCAGCATATGACACGCTAATTGAGAAACACGTTTAATAAACAAACGTCGCGAAAATACTCCTTTGCTTTAACTTTTCTGTCTATGTTTATATAGCAAACATGTGCCAGTACTTACCTGACGGGCAACAATAACTTTAGGGAGAGTCGCGTTAATTTTCACCACTCGCCGAAGTTCATGCAATCCACAACAGGACATAAACATTGAAAGGTCGGAGCGGAGCTGAGTATCGATCACCTGCTCGATGTCGAGTGTTCCTCCACTTAGTGCCAGATGCAGAAGTACAGCTGTACGTTCACCTAGAGCTACTTAATTATGTCACAGAAACATAGGGGCAATCATGTTTCCTGGATACTTAGAGATAACGCTATAGACTATATAATTTTATGCAGAATCTAAGTAGGTTTAAGGTGACCTAAGCTCTCACAAAAATTATAATATACGTCATAACCTACGTAAAGCTCAGGCTAAGCCTGAGCTAGGGCCTGACTCCGTTTACCGCCCGTTTTGCGAGAAATCAGAAGTTACCTTTACTACGTAGATATGTAGATAACACAATTCCGCCGATAAATTATATCTTCACGTTAGGTAACATGTATATTCAAAGAAAAACGTATTAATCTGCATATTGCCTTCAATTTATATACTCTAGTCAGCCTCTTTCCGAACCTCTTAGTACATGCCCGATGAACAGGGTGCTCTGCCTGTGCCAGTCCTTCAACGAGTTTCTTGTCTCGTCAGGAAGACACTTTTCAGCGTTAGTTAGTTTGTTAGCGTGACGTCGCATAAACGCTTCAACTTCGTTAAGGAAGAGGTCGAGTGTTCCGTCGTCGGGTGCCAACAGCGCTAAACAATAACCCTGTCCACCTGCGATTCCGCTCTGAAGTTTTGCGAATAGCTGATACACACACATGATACTACCACGAGTGCTGAAATTTCAAAATGATAACAAACATGAAAAAATCGAAATCAATTAGTAGAAAACAAAATGCAAAATTGTACACGTCAGAATCGAACTAAAAATTGTGCCCTTATTGAGTATGGCCTAACTTCCTTTCTGAATGTCCTATTAGTACATAACATTACAGATTTGATGTAAAATCTTATGACTTCGGAAGCGTGCACCACGTGCACAGCTGTTCACGTGCTCATACCTTTTCTGTTATACATAAAGAAACTGAGCAGTCCATTAACTACGGTAGGCACACGCATTGTAGGAAACAAAGAAGGGATGTTCGAATTCTAAGATCTCTACTTAGCTATTTTTTTCCAGATAAATATACATGTATATATAGTATTGTCTCTGTGATAACTCAGTGAGTAATGTATTTGCCCGCTAAACTTAGGGACATGTAACAAGCCAAGTTCTAATCCGGGTACAGACACACCTTGTTATTGTGTGATTTACGGTGATGGGCACGCATCTAAAGAAAGGCGCCCGCAAATCTGGGCGAAGGTGAAACGGAAAACCGACATGAAATTTGGTGAGTTATCCTTTATCCTTAATGCTAAAATGCGATATGAAAAGTTAGGAGATAGTTAGCGTCTATGCCAATACCAGCCTTCCGCTTTCCCGTAGAGCCTTGAGACCTTTTCTAGGCAGGTTTTCGTATACAGTCATTATTTGTTCGAGTTAAATTTACGCATCCGTTAATATCGGTGGCAGATGCTGCCGGCCTCGTCTGTATAGTCAATCAGATTACACAATAGCTCCCCTATATAGAGCGATTGAGTTAACGATCTAAGGCGAAAATTATAAGGTTCACAAGAGGAGCAAACAGATATAAGATGTGACAATGACGACTCGCTCCATCCGAACACATGATTACTCAATAGGCTGCGCTATGAACAGTTAGAACTTTAATAAATAGCCTTCATTGACTGTGGAAATCTATAGTGCAGACGATAGCTTTGCTAGCAAGTCTGACTCTTCATTCAATGGCCTTTCAATCAAATCTACAAATTTTGACGCTCTTCGCGCGAATCACAGGATTCAAAACAATTGTCTAAAGATCCCGTATACATATGTAAAAGTATACACGTGTATTCGAAAACGGGAATTGGCTTTCGAGGGTTGACCGATAAACGAATGAACGATTACATCTCACGTGGAAATATCCTATCAGCAACCTTAGACTTGTCGGTACTAAGTTAGAATTTCGAAAATAGGCCGTTTTATCCACACACTTTGAGTATGTGCCCAGGGGGCTTAAATGGACGATTTTCTTGGTTACTAATCTCGTTGGAGTGCCTAAGCTGTTCGCTTGGTTAATTTATGATTGAATAAAAAATTGCATGTTTTTCGCGATTTTTGCACTCGTAGGAAGTCCTACTTAGCCTGGAACCCGGGTGCACAGACAACAGGATATCAAGCCCGGAGGGTACCATGGTATTGTTGATGTGGCTGAAAGTTTGGCATCCTGAATGTGGATTACATATAGCTATAGACGTTGAACGATTTACTCGCATGAGTGTTTTTTAACAATAATCTCTGCACGTGTTCGATGATATATTGGTTCTATTTCGGCTTTTATTCGGCATGCATAGAGACCAACGTAATTAACTCGTTTCGTTGCACAGAGATAATATATGAAAGTATAAGGCGGCATAGATTACAGCTTAGATTTTCTGTTACTGCTCGAAGTTTTAATCATTGATCGTTTGAGACTGGTTGAACTCGAAGGCCATTGAGCCCCACAACTTTGCCCTTGATTGTTGTTAAAGCAACTTTTTTCGCCCATGACAATTTATACACTGGACCCTGTTAGTTTTGGTTATCTAATTTGTATGATTACCAATCAATGTATTTAGTATCGCTTAGTCACTACCGTGCTTGCCGACGTTCTTGTTCGAGATTCATCGACAGATGCCTTATATATATACATCTCTATTTTTTTCTCACACAACGTTCGATGCACAGTTCTGCTATAGCAGTAAACGATCTTTGCTAAAGACAACTTTACGATACGTTTCACTTTTGCAAAGACGTTCTCGTCGTTACTGCGAACTTTCTACGGACTGACAATTTGCTGGCAAGGCATAATGAGTTTGTCTTACGACGTACAGCGCTCAGTGGCTTTACGTGTCAACAAAAAAAGGTGTCCACTTTTGAGGCAGTCCAGGGCCAGTTCCTTCGGCTGGATCACGAACATCAGAAGATTAACGAATGAGACACATGTAAAATCTGGATAACTTAGAAAGTTGAGATACAATATGATCGTAGTGATTAAAGTGAACGAAATAAGTGCGCATTACCCAACTATAGAACAACTCGCAGACATGGTCATCATGTTAACGAGAATACAAACATCCTATGTTGACTGAGGCCAACAAATAGACAAAGTTGTTATTTGTTTACATTCTATCACTAAGCCGTCGGCCAAAAGCGTACGCGCGAATCGAAATGAAGAATGGCTTCTAAGTAATACTACGAACAGCGCGAGGGATGGCTGCGTCAGTACGAGAAACTGCACAAGCTTATTATCGGCACGTAGCTTACTGTATGTTTCTCTGAACGCACCAAAACGATCAAAAGTATGTTACACAGAAACAACGATCGCCGGACAAAAAGGCTGACCGGTTTCTGATATCGCCAAACGCAATCTGAACAGATATTGCCATTGTTGTTGTTGATAAAAAAATAACTCGTGTATATAATTCCGAGAGCTCTAAGTTTCCGGTCGGTCGCTTTTAACAGGCAGTTTCTTCATCCCTCCATTGGTGACGAGCGGAACGAAAACATATGTGAGTTGCATACTTTACTCAATACAGGAAAAAGGACTATTAAGAAATAAATAGGTTAGCTAGATCCACGACTTCCAGCAGCTCGCTCCGGTTACTAATACTGTCTCATAGTCATATACGGCAGACTATCTAACGGTCCAATCGACGACACCTATTAGAAATTTAGCTTTCTCTCGTGACGAATTCAAGATGACGCGGCGCGGTGTCGCACAGCGCAATAGCAAACGGCAGCTTTATATTTCTGTTATATTCTGATGTTAAGTGAGTTGGTGAAGACAGTTCGATCAGAAGATCGAGGTCCACGTGTTGCCGTCTGTGCCCCATGCTACGCCGCTAGGCGGCAGCGGGCGTATAACTTGTTCTATTGGCGCAAGGGCCGTAGCGGTGGTGTTCTGCCGCGTGACTACAATCGGCTTTTAGCGATGCGCTCGTCAGCCATTACTGCGGCTGCGTTTGCCTAGTCGGTTCATGCAACCTTTGATAGGTCGTTCAACTGTCTGAAGCACGAATCTTCAAACTGATCTGTAGTGTATGCGTATGAATGGCGGCGTGAGCATCTGAACATCGCTATCCGATGTGCAGCCGTGTCGCGCGATGCGACTGACTGAGTCAAATCGATCGAGCTCGGAGTCCCAATGGTTAGCGACGGGGTCGTCGCATCGGAAAATAGAAATCGGGCGCCGAAGGTGCAGGGGAGGACTGGATTAAGGGAAACACAGCCCACAAAAGAAAAAATAGCCACTTCTAGGCACGGCAAAACGAAATGCATAACGGCTACGATCTATCGGAACTATGGCTGCCACCGCCACTCCAGAAGTTGTCTGTGGCAGTGCAGCTAAATGAATCCAGTAAAGGAACTGTGGTAGCAAACTATACTGAGAGATCGGTAAGGAACAAAGTAAGAAAATGCAAAAAGAAGTATTACACTATAGCGTATCAGAATTACGTAGAAATACTTGTACTGCTTTAGATAGCTGAGGCTATACATTTTATCTTGACTTTTGCCGTACGAGGGCTAAGTCACACGATGACCATGATACTTCGTGATGATGATAATAGCACAATATTCAACAGTGTACTACTGATTATTCTGAATTTCAAAGTTGCGTAGACACCGACATTCATATCTGGTTCGGTTATGGGATGATATCTCGGTCATCGAACCGTTGCAATTGAGAGTAGGACGAACGGGCAGGATCACTAGAAAACGACCTGTGCAAACGCTCAGTACTGATGTCAATGACCTGACACAGTTCTGATGCTTTGCATTCTGAAAACATCAATATAACTGAAAAAAAAAAAAAAAAAAAGAGAACTGTTTAAAAAAATAAATCAGACCTTCCCCGTCCATGTCGTCCACAAGTGTGAAATGATCAGGTTTCTGTTCATATGAAGACAAATTCAATACTGCATAGCAAAAGAAACGCAACGTGATCGTAAACAAATTTGGTTTGGGCATCTGCATAGATACTTATAGTTTCTATTCTATCAATCACCTCAAGAACGTTTTCGACGTATTTATGGGCCATGTGCCCTAAAACGTAACTAAAATAATACGCTTTTGCTCACTCGCGTCTACCATCCAGCGGCGAAGTTTATAGCTTAGCTAAGAGTTCCTGTTGTGGGTTGCTTCTAGCCTTGACGGGGACAAAAATGGTATTTGCGCGTCCCCTTGCACGTGCACTTTGAGAGAGGTAGGCGAACAGTTTTGTCGAAGTAGAAGACCGAAAAGAACCGACAACGTACGAATAACGGCTCGTGGTTAACACGGCGGCCTTCAACACCGGAAACGAGAATCGATCATACATTTTCCAAACGAGCCTATCAGCAGCGCATAGAAGCGAGGCCCTCTGTGAGTCCTAAGCCTTATATATGTATGCTAGCTGAGAACAGTATCGATTTAACATGCAACTCGCAATACTAGAGATATATATATATATAAGCTGGCACAAGCACAAACTCACCATTCAGATGAATATGATCGTGCGTCAGCTTTTTGTCAAAACTCCCATTGAAATTTTGTTGGTAACGCATAACCGACGATCGTTATTGCCAACCTCTGTGCGGTTCGCAGCGAATACAAACCCTTTTTATTATTAATTAAATTGATAGGGTTAGGACACTGGTAGAGGCACAAACAATTTGATTGTCTTAGAATCTTAACTTGAATATTAACGACCGTTCTCAAGAGGAGAGTATGTATTTGGGAAAGATAATTGTAACCAGACAGATTTTCGGCCTTTATAAGCGTCTGGGTTCTTGGGACGTTTAGCCTAAAGTAAGTCCAAAACTCAAGCCCACTGAATTTTTGCATGTAGCATGCTATAACTATTTACCAAAATGACCTCACAAATCCGAAGATGCACAGCACCTTGAGTGGCTTTACATAAAAATGCGGCTATAATTATCTAAACATATTACTATATGCGCTCCACTATATGTTGCGGCCCACGACCTTCCCCGTAACCGAGATGGCATCCTTGATATAAATGGCCGACTAGACTATTGTACCTAACAAACGCACAAACAGATTCGCTGCCATAATTGGCATATTTAAACACCATTAAGTTGTCAGGTGAAACACTACGAACATTGTCAAGCCGAAACTCAGCGTAGAACATCTGTTTTTACACACTTCCCTAGCGTAAATATATTTCGGCATAACCTGTACAAAAATTTCACGTACGAGCCGAGAAGGAAATGTTATGGTGGCATAGTAATAAAAAATTGACATTTTCAATAAATCGCTATTGGTACCATCCGGTTGTTTTTTTAGCCCGCATGCCAAATCCATGTAGCGTTTTTACAGGAAGAAAAAACATACTTTTTAAGATCGGATCTCATAAAGCCGACCGCAGCCAGCCAATACGGTGGCAAGCCGACATGGCAAGCCAAGTCAGCTCCAGATTTACACATTCGTTCTAGGTCAACACGCATAGGTTTCAATAACACCATGGCGGGTGACTACATCCGAGTTCTCTAAGACGTCACTCTGAGACGCTACCTGCATCGAAATGAGTTACTCATTCGCTTAATTTGAACACTTTCTTCCCTTCGATACGCCAATACACACGAATGCGTCAATCCATTTCAGACCCGAACGACACAAATGGTTCGGCACCAGTCGTTCGACGCTATGGACGCATCGCCACTGACGATTCTTTCGGGTCGATTGCTGAATGCTCACGGTCATATTTGTAAAAGGATAGGCTTATGTATGTAATCAGATCAGGACCGCATAAATGGAACAAAATCCACTGAACAGAGCAGGTAGGCCCCGTGGGTGCGTCATCTGGCGGCGACAGACTAATGATTATCGCGAAGCGACAACGAAAGCATAAGAGAAAACTGGTAAGGGACGATACAACACGAAATAAGAAAGAAGTACATAGATGAAAAAGAAAAGACTCTGCTATATCTGTAGATACTTCTTGGCCTTTTTTCTGGAAAGAACGTGCTGTCGAACGAAGTGGACAACCGAGGCGGGATTACTGCGAAAATGCTTATGCACTAAAAGGGCCTGAAGCTTTGCCTCGTTTAAATGGTCCTAGACCAAGTAAGGTAACAGCTGACCATCAGTAATTTTAGTCGTTAGGCATAGTGAAGTTCAGTGGGCAGCAACTAGTGGACCTTGATTGAGTAGCCTGAGAAACGGGAAAGGTGCTCTTACCCGACATCGAGTAAAGCTGCTTTGGCTCCGCCTTCGAGAACGATGTCCTTTAGCTGAATTCTCTTTTGTAGGAAGCATCGTAAATCAGTTTCTTTTTCACCACTGAGGTTCGTTGCGAGAATATTGAGATAAACATGTTGAGACGCTGGAGATTTATTCGTTGGGTTTGCTTCCAGCTCGGGATTTGAGCCTTTTCTGCAATACATAAAACGCCACACGGTTAACTAGTAATCGCCACATAAAATGCAAATACTTTACAAAGGGTAGAAGACACGCTTCATAAGAAGAGTACGCCGTCCGCGATAGTCGGATCTCTGCACAATTTCTAATGAATTTCTGTCTCCGCAAGGTGATCTACAGCTTTTTCCCATTAATGTGGCGGGTGCTTTTCGATTCATGTTTGTTGTTTTGTTAATAAACAATTATAAGTTGATTACAAAATTTCAATCTGTGTCGACATCCTGGAATGAAGCAGGCTGCCGAATTAGTAAACATTTGCCTATACTGTATTATTGTTTGGATACTTGTGCTATAAACAGTTAGAGCGGATGCTATTAAGATAGCTAACGTTAGTTGCTGATAGCCGTTTCTCTCGGTAGACTATAATATGAATTTCCTAAATCTGTGTTACAAAGTCAACAGAGTACAATGGTGTTCGGGTTGCAAGTCAATATTCGTTAATCTCCGCTCTCATTTAGCAGAATTATGCGAGACGTGTTAGGGATTGCATTGGCTGATCCTTGCAGGCTTACTAAGGCCTCCCTATCCATCTCTGATACTTCTTCGGTTGACTATTGAACGTACTGTACAACGACGCAATTATGCTTTGTCTTTAGCCAATCCGAGCTTTTGGTCCGCGTTTTTCTTAGTGGTTACTACCGTTGCTGTGGCGGTTATCTCGGTTACTACGTTTGCTGTTTGTTTTCACGACGTTTACGCTTTCCTTTAAATTTGCGGTTACCGACCCCGAAACGCAGTTGAGTCGATATCCCGTTGATCGACGAAGCACAGACGCAGCAGAAAAAAAAATAGCGATAAACACGCGGCTGAAAAGCGAAGCAGACAGATATGATATAGGTAGGAGAAACAACAGACCCAAGTTCGCGTCCAGGCCAAAGCCCGAGTCGACTCGCGCGTCTTAAGAGGTAGCATCGTTTCGCTAACAGCCGATGCCGGTGCAGCGTCCACATTGATCATAGTAATAACGAAGCCGCACCGCTATGTGAAGTCTTCTAACGAAAAAAAAAAAAGCACTACACTGTTCAGAAGAACTATAGACACGCAGCTGAGTGTCAGACTTCACTAGCGAACCGCTGTTTCTAAAAGCAACCTCATTATTGTCCGCGATGTAACAGCAACAACCTGTGCTCGCATTTTTATGGTGGCTGTCACGACGCTTTTCGAGGCGGTCTGAGTTCTTTTTTGCCATCAAAATTACCGGGCGTTCGTCGACCAAAGGTATTAGCTGGCTGGCGACCGATTCGTGTTAGGGAGCTGTGGCGAGCGAGCGATTAGAATAGCTGAAAGAAAAGTTCATCTTGAATCGTCTATTCTGTATAGCTCGGTAGTTTTGGCAGTCCACACTCGCATTTAATATCTGTTCCACATATCGATATATGAGTTGAGATCTAGGTGGCTCGTTTCGGCTGCTGCTACCAGTAATGATAACGTAAGTACTCTACCCTTTTCTGTTTTGTGTTTTACCTCTTTTCATTCGCACTTGTTACGACTTAAGCTTGATATTAACAGTTAACGAAAAACACTACGACTCTCTCTGGTAGCATTATGGTGATCGGTAAAAAAAAAAATAGCGTCGTTATAGCTCCCACAGCGACGAGGATTACACAGGTCGTTTACTATCCGAGGCATTGCATATTGCCCGTTGACAGTCAATGAATAAACCATCTTTTGCCATATATATCCGTTTGTATTCATGGGATGTGGGGGGACGACTATTTCTATTTTTATCAAAATGATAAAATTGTCATCGATTGTGAGGCAGGCCCAAACAAAGACGTGATCGCGTAAAGATTTCATTTCACTTGTACAGCTGTCTCGCCCTAGCAGTCGTGCTACATAAGTACAAAATTTGAGATTTACAGTTCGATCGAGTGTTTGCTGTTTATAAAAAAGCAAGCGGCGATAACTTGTGATGGCAAAGACAAGTTTCTCTCTTCTTTTTACTTTAACTTGTCGACGTGATCGAGATTTTTGCTCAAAACTGGTGTATTAAACGGCTAATTTAGCGGTTCGAAGTAACAAGTTCAATTTGGCAATTGGTAAGTAACGTATTAACTAGAAAAATAAATTTGCCGTCATAACTTCTTCTGTGTAGTACAGTCGACAACGACAATTAAAAGGGTAGCTAGAAACTACGGAACCAAATGAATGACACTTAGCCTAACTTAGGCTCGTAACTGCAGCATGTAACATAAAATCACTTCCATTCTGTCAATGACAAATTAATATCTAGAAGGTATCGAGGCCGTTGAAATACTCACCATTATGAGGTAAAGATAAGAATGTTTATTTAAGCGTATGTCGGTATTGATGTGTGTGTGTACTCATAACGCCAGGGTAACGACATAGAACTTGATATCGGGATCAAATCTGAGGCGCAAATAATGGTGCCCCAAGATCTAGAAATACGAAATTTAGCACACGTGTTTTTTTTTTTCTAAATTTAAAACATGTTAAAAAAAACAGGTTACCTGTTGTATCGATAGAACACAATCCGGATTTCGGTGGTATAGCTATTTTTTTAGTCGGTTACATCTACTAGCCGTTACTTGTTGTTGGAAAAAAATCGCTGTTAACAATTAGATGAGATATATATATATAGTGTGTTTTCAAGTAAATTTGTTGCTATGGAAGAAGGGATATTTTGCGCAATTTTATCTGTGAAATGAGTACACCGGTGCAACTAGTTAGCGGGCAAAGCGAAACACGCCGCTTATTATTGACAGTAATCAGCTATTAAAGCATATTCTGAAGAAGAAACGGTCCACATTGTTCGATGCATCTTATTGACCCGTATACTCCGCTAGCAATAAGGAATTAAATGGTCTTTGTTGACTACGCCAAAGCGGACCGATGTCTTCACTTTGTAAAAAGAAGAAACGCATCAGAGTGCTAATGCAACACAAGAATTTATAGCATCACCATCACTAAATAACCCACTGGGCTACCCATCGTTTTTTATTTGTTTGACGATGCCTAGAATGACAATGTAAACACGTTATTCGATATTTACTCATGCGAAGCTAGACGTATAAAAGAAATATAGGTAGTAAGTAAAATTGTCAGTGCTTCACTTAGAAAGGCGTTTGTGGTCATTTATGGTAACAACAAAAGTCGATTGAGCAATAGGTATTTCGCGGACATTCCTTAGGGCAATGTTTTAGTAACCTAAATTTTTTGCAACAATTTTTCTACGACAGAATTTTCTCAGCTTAATTTTAGACAACGCTGTGCTACTGCCTTTCTGTCCAATACAAATATAATAACGTGGTCCAATCCGAGCAGCCTCCATCTTTGCCCGAATGCGCTTGGGATGTTGCAAGGCGTTCGGTATTATCGTCTACGATTAGTTTCATATGTTAATACATAGGATAGAGCTATGTGAAGTCTAGCTTATTGCTTCAAGCGACCAGACTTAACAGCTAAAGCTATGAAACTGTCAACATTTCGAAGCGCCATAACAGGTAAAGACCGCTGAATTAGCGGAGCCCTGCCATTGACATCTAATTGGCAGAACGGAAACTCATCTACGAACTGTGGCACATCCGCAGCAATACGTCGTACCGCAATAGGCTGTGTGCCACCACTGACCAACTAGGCTTATATCATTCGACAACACAAAATGTCTAGCCGAGTCAGCGTAGTCGCGCACGTCGCACCATTTTCTGGTTGCCAGTGAGCGGTGGTATTTGTCTCTCTGGAGCACATGATCGTTCCTTAAATACCCGGTTCTACTCAACAATAAAGCCCGATTGTCACGAAAAGGGAAGAACAATTTCTTTGCAAATGTCTTGATGGCCTAGAAAGTTGCGCCCATTTTTGTATTGCGTGTTCAACTTTATCAGCAGTTAACCCGTTCGGGAGGCTGTGTCAACGATTTACCCATATCATTTCGTAACAGCAATGATCAGATGAGTTTCTGCTCAGAATCGGTGGGTCTGTGTGCCTTTGCATAACGCCAGCGTGTCGTCAATAATAGACAGGCAGGTATCTCCTGTCAACTTAAATTGTTATCAACGTTTCGACTTATGATGGTACGAACTAGTAGAGCGACCTTTTCAACGAAGGGCGAGTGATCGAGAATAGATATGCTATATACGCGAAAACGAAAATTATATTGTAAATTCTAAGCTATCATGTTAATGCTGTACGACATATAACCGTGCGCTCTAAGACAGTAGCTTAGCTTTCGATTATTCTGAGGCCTCTGTTCGCACATTATGACTTCTTAACTTAGTCGTGTTTGAAGAGTACAAATTTTTAAATGTATCTGCCAGCAAAACGGCTGGCGGACTCCCGAGTGATGAATTGGCCCGGATTATTGCAACCTTAGCTCAAAGCGCGAGCGCAACTTTTCTCGTCGAGCTATAACGGTCAGTCGTCCATAACGTTTTGAAATTCTCTCTACGAACTATCGTCTAGGGGGCTTTCATGAAAGATCCTGGAGAGCTTCGTAACTTAACCTGCCGAGACGCGTACTGGCGACCACTTATAGACGGTTCAGTCCGGTTGCTGGCTGTCTGAACGAGTGGTCCAAGCAACGTCTGAAACGTCACCAAACGCCCAAGGTCGGTCATCCGGAAAAGTCCCGAAATGAAGTGGAATTGGGATGGAAATTGGTCTGTGTCGTACAGCATTCAAACAGTGAATGCTGTGCTTTGTGAAATCGCTATGTTGCGAAAAATCTTTTGAACTAAAAATCACCTGAGCCGGCTTCAAATGAAGTTTCTCATGTCTCAAGCTAATGTCTGCGTATCCACTTGTTTAGAGAAACCAACCTACGAGTAAGCATTTCCTCATCGCCATGAGCCCTAATGCTCACACTGGGACAAATCGTATGGCCGAGTGGTAGCGTTTGCCACATCTGTAGTATATTTCCCAAGCAAAACAATATCATAACGAGTTCCCTATAATGAATAGTACGTCAATTAATCTTCCGCTAATATATTTACGGTTGTTACACTACTAAAATGTTAATTTCTTTATTATCTTAAAAGTAGTAACGCCGGTATGACCGAAATTTTCCAGCTTCCCTTTTCCTTTGCCAGGGTATTTTGTATTCACTCAACGTAGTCTGAATATATCCATGACCAGCTTGGGCTGTTTCATTGGCTTCAGCCGCAAACGAAGATGAATTTCTCTGTTGAATATGCCGGATTTGGTGACCTCGGCGGCGTAACATGCATCGTTCTATTCGATATGAAACTGTCTAGCCGGCGTAGGGCACCACCGCTTACAGTCTACATACTTATGTTGTGTATTGTTTACGATAAGCTGCACGGTAAAGCGGTTGATTAAAATAGTCACAGGCTAGAAAAGCGTTCGTGCTGGAAGGGCAGTTCATGGTAAGTTCTTTTCCAGCTTCAAATTGGCAAGCATAAAGTGCCTTCATAAAAGGAACTTGTTTTTGACCAGGGAACATTTGGTCAATGATTGTGTAAACGTATTGACAGATTACTAATAAGACGAATTCGATGAGAAGCAACAAATGGAAAAAGTTCACTGTAAAGTTATACGTTTGTTTTCAACGGTATATTAAAAAGCTAGCATCATCTTATAGCTTCTGACCCCCCCCCCCCAACGTTAATTGTAAGTTTCATGCTGGCCATCAGTGCGCCTAAGCGAGCATAGCCCTATATAGAATCCACATCGTTTCCGTCTATGTAGGGTTGTTCCGCGTTTGAGATAGCGTTAGAGATTTTTACGGTAAGTTCCCTTTAATCACAACTGGCACTGTGAACGACAAACATGTCACATCGGTGTCTTCACAATTACTGATATCTATTTTTACTGGTATCGTTGTTACTGTTGATTGCCTTTGGTCGACAATCGGACTGAATCTACTGGTAGGACCATGGACAACCCAGATGTGCACCGCCTGTAAAGCTCTTCCAACGAACCCACCGTTTGGCATTATCCACCTCTTGGTAGGCCTCCACCACGAAAACACAAAATGCTGTGAACGCATGAATAACAGACAGATTTGAGGCAGCTGAAATAAGGGATATAATGTTATTGGAGCTGAACCACATCAGGACCACAGCTTCCCTGGCGTTCGCTGGGGTGGTCCTTTCTGCGACAGTTGGGTCCACCCAACGGAACTAGTCGCCATCGCCGTAAAAGTATCCTTTGCGTCATATGCCTGTCATTTTGCTGTGCATCCGACATGCAGATATCTCTTTGTCTGTTCACCGCTGGTAACTTCTATTCAGAGCCATTGCTGCCACTCGTTATTGTTTCATGACGATGACGATCAACAAAGCAGTGAATATTATTCTCATAACGGCTTGTTATTTATATATGAAGCAATCATCCACCACCTATTTATAGTATCAGGTCATCATAAGCCACAATGTTTTAGCACCTGATGACATCCCATGACGTCTTTTATTTAAGTTGCTCGATTTCCATTAATATCCAAAGTCTTCATTGGACATTAGCTGCTGTCTGCCCTGTTGCTGCAGTTAGATAATTTATAATATAGAGGAACAGGAACAACGTTTGCCTAGGGGTATTTGGTGTTTTGGCGCTAGGGATAGGCAAGCTGTATAACGTTTCTTCAGCCATGTTTGGTAGCGACGACACAACGTTTATGGCAATGCTGCTGTTGCTGACAGTGACGGCAGCGGCAGCAGCAGCTCAAGTACTGGTATAGTGTAGTTGTGCTGTGCTAATATTGTCACTGCGGCCGTCTCTGTAGTGGTTGTCGTGCTGCTGCTGCTGCTGCTGGTGTAAACAGTGATGCTGTGGACGGCGCCACAGCATCCGGTCCATGAAAACCGTTGATTTGCTTTGAGCGGGGCACGATGCTATATTCCGATTTGGTATATCAAATCGAACTGTTTATTACTGCCGACGTGTTATTGTTCAAGTTGTCCGCACGGAAACAGTAACTTGAGTGTCTTTCAACATTCTAATACTATTTATATTACGTCTAATAATATAAATAATCATATATATATATATATATATAATGTGATAATTACCCCTTCTTCACACACATGAATTAAAATTGGCTGTACCTCTTGCCATCTTAAAATTACAAGGGCTGGCCGGAAGTCAAGAGATACCATCTGCAGCTGGTAATAAAATTCGACGATACCTGCCGTAGTACCCAAATCGTTGCTATTAAGTTGGTGACGATTGATTGTGTTTCCTTTTTTCGAACATATTTTAAAGCTATTTCACTCCATCAAATACCACACGTACAGTTGTGTCTGGAGGTACATTTGTTGTTATATTTGATGTTATCGTAGCCTATCACTTGCTTATGTCACTGAAGTTCCTTGTTGAACTATAAATCGATTTCTATATTCTATTCAATAGACTGCCGATAAGTTGACAGTGAGGCTGAACCTATCTCTAATCAATTGACTTGACGGGGGTTCTTGTTAACAATCTATTATATATATATATATGTACAAGGTACATGTAAAAGCCAACTGGATCCGCTCAATCAAAAGGCCTGACGACAATTGTTGTCGTCAAAATATAATGTGATCGTTCAAGTTTGAAGACCCCATAAGTTAACATTACATTTTGCTACTCAGCCAATAGATATTGGGCCTTGTGAGATTGTCTATTTTCTGATGACCCCAACTTTGGCAATAGTCTGAGGATACGGCAGTAGGTATTAATTTCGCTATTCTTTATACTTACTTCGCTTTATGAGAGTATGATTTGTATTACTTAAATGAAACGTAAGCTCCCCCTTACCATAGCCGTGCTATTATCAAAAACCAAACATAGGCGATTGAAATATGTTTGCTTGGCAAGGAAATCATTTACACAAGCCAGAGTTCATGGGCCCAAAATTTCTCATTGCGGTCCTACGCTTCATAACAAAATAACCACATATAAGTACGCCCATGTAGATAATGGTAAATGCTTGCTGTTTCAGAACTAGACATGTTAGCGATTGATATAGGAAGATGGGACATAGTTTCTGCAATATATATATATAAACGATTAGATGGAGGGCACAAGTAAAAGATACCATCTAGCGAATCGACTTTTTACGACACGTTCACGAAAGCTCGACGAGCAAGTAGTTATTTTTCTAACTCAATCGAAAAATAGATGCACGAGGCACTAGTTTTAATAACAAACATTATTTGTTAGTTTGCCAAACTTACCCTGATGCATTGCAGTAATAGAGTGCGTAAAAGGTTTCATACACTGTTGATGGCAGGGGGGACATCCTCGATTCGGTAGTCATGGTTATTTGGTGTGATCCGCTGGTCTTCAGCTTGTGCCGCGAAATGTTTTCAATGGTCAAATCTAGTCAGCCAGGGTTAGTTGTTATAATCCGTTAGGTGCAACTAGAGTAGGCCGCCGGTACTACTACACGAGGCCGTAAACTTGCTTCTTGTTCACCTGACGGTCTTACCCTGATGGACATAAGCTGACTGCTATTGATCCTCTTCGTACGCCAGCCACTTTTATGGGTTATATTGACACATGGTCGCACTTCGTGTCTCAAGGAACCGTAGTGTAGTACTGTGATGTTCGCTAAATAATCGAAAACGGGTATATTTCAGCCTCTATTTTGGCAGAGATATTAGATTTCGTACTAATATTTCGAAAATGTTCGGCGTAAACCGGCGTTCAGCTAGATTTACCACTTTTAGTTAGCTGTCTTCTGATCACTGCGCTGCGCTGGCGACCGGGTTCGTACCAGAGGCCCACACAGGAAGGAGAGAGAAGGAGCGTGCGCGTTATTGCCAGGGAAGCGTTCCTGTCCGGATGGACTTTATCGCTCTGACCAACTAAGTTCGGGACGGCGAAACCGCGGTAGAATTCAACCGACCATGTTTGTGGTAGATTCTGTAACAAGCAAGCAATAACATAAATTAAGTACGGTAAGGTAGCTAGCATCCGATACAATATGCTAACATGGCAAATATTTACGTGGCGAGTACATCGATCCCGAGCGCGCCAGCTCGACTCTGTCGCGATCGGCTGCGGCCGCTCTCTGGCTAGCTAACTCACTCGTCTCCCCAACTCGTTACCGAAGCGGTAAACTGGGCTGACCTAGGCGACGAGATGGGCACGCGCACAGATAAGCTCAGACACACAAGCAACGTCATAGTGACCCTCTCGTACTGTTGCAACACGACTCTCTTAGCCATTCCGTTAACGGCACGAAATCGCCATTTAGAGACAATATCTAGATATCTTTGCACCTGGAGCGCGTCTAAGCCAAAGAGAGCCGGCGCATGTGTTCGCTTTTGTACGTAAATATGGCGAAGTGTTGTTCTTAGAAGGTCTCTCTCTAGAATAAGCTGCACATAGGAACAGCCAGCGTGTGAGCGCAAGGACATAAAGGTGCCAGAAACAGTTATCACTCTATCAGCTAGAATTTGGGCGAGATCATTCACAATCGGATCGTGCCTTGTGTTCAGGTCGATGAAGTGGGAAAGAGCCCTTTTAATCGACTGAGGTAGCCTAATAATGCCGGAATTATTTCTGCGGACTGATTTTATCCAACCTTTAGGAGAAACAATTGCAGCGTTTTTGTAATCTAGGGTTAACCTTCATCGATGTAGCCTAATTTACTACAAACATTCACGTCCGAAGATATGCAAGATCGCGCCTAACCACAAATATTGACTATTGGAACAGGTTTCAACAGATTCAATCGGCGACCTGGAGAATAACGAGAACGGTCATCTAGGTAATTACGTTTGGCCGGTTCGCAGCCTCCTGTGCCGTTAGCAGGCTGTGCTTAGCTACTGTAGCACCTGCAGATTAGCAAAATGATAAATACGGGCCTAGCTAACAGCATTATTAACCCAGAGGGCTGACAGTATAGGGGTGCTGCCGTATACATGCACGGAAGTTTGTGAATCATAAGTTAATTTACGATGCCGATTACAACTATTGCTGTTCCGATACAATAGCGTCTGCTTGGGCCATTGTTGCTATGCATGTGTCCGTCCTCGTACCTTCGTTCGAGTTGCCGAAAGTAATGCTGAAGGAAATAAGCCTCGTTCCCAGTGCTGTAATCCTTCATTCAGGGCTCGTTGCTTCGGTCTTTTTCTGCCCTACTCGAAACAGCATTGTCAACACGAATACGACAGTAATTTACGAACGCTGTCACTGACTGCCCCTAACATTGATGACACCTCACCGAGACACTTATTCCTCCGGAGTTTGTTGAGGGAGCTGACTGTTCACTTGTTTCCGTCGGGCATTAGCAAAAGCGGCAGCAAATCCTGTGGCGGTGATGACGACGGCAACAGAACACCAAATGACTAATTAGTGTGATAAATATTTGCCCCTTAACAGAACATTCAAATAATTTCAAATTCAGCTGTGACTAGCACCTATGGCCGCCCTTGTTGTAAGCGTCCTCAAAAGTCGTCCTATTTCTTTGGTCAGCCAAAATGATAATTCGCCTTCAAATCACGATCAGAACTCATGAAGTGCGTATCGCTCAGTAGCAGTTGATAGGAGTAAATTTAGTAACTGGCTACGGTCGCCAGTCGCTGCGCGAATCCCAAACCTCTACGTTGAGTGCGTCGATCTCTTATGAGCGTTGCCGTATTTTTGTGCGTGAATTTTCATGTCATCGGCTACAATGTGTGATGTTAACCAATCTTCAATGGCAACGAATTGCTCTAATAGCGACTAGTAGTAACATTGGCGTCCATTGTTGGCAGCAGCGCACCGCCGTTTGACAACAGTCGGTGCCACTATAATATCAGTGCAGAAGGGCCACTACGCAGACGTTGATGCGACGGTCTACCAGCCTGCCGCTGTTGTTCAATCGTTCCTCTATCTGTTCGTCCAGCCATCTTTCTGTCCTTCCACCTGTATCAGCCGCAGCATCAGTAGCGGCAACGGCAGTAACCAGAGTATGGCGCGCGCTTTGCCGTTACCATGGAGCTGCCGCTGGCCCCATCAGCGGTTTCGCTCTGTGGCAAGCTGCAGTGGTAGCTGTTGCTTCGGGTGGGAGAGACTAAGGGGTAGTTGCAGCGGTAGTAGTAGACGTAGGGGCAGGCTTCTCTCGCTCTCACGCGACGGCGCCAGCAGACGCATCACTGCTGACTCCGTTAGTGCGGTGAGCTCGGGCTGAACAGCGCTACAGCTATTGCCGGCACTGACAGCCAGATCCGCAAGCGCTTGACAAGATTACCGTTCGCCTGAAAACGTTCAGCCGGCTATATGCTCTAACGAGGAGATATACGCCACAGATGTTCAAAATATGGCGCGAACTTCATCGAGGAGCGCAGTGCTTCATAGCCAATCAGTAGGTGTAACTGCAAGTTGTTTGGATAGCGGCCGGTGCCACGTTTCAAATCGTTCGGTTCGAAATAAAGTAGCACGCTGATCGGTAGACTTATTTTATGTTTCTACGTGTGTTTTGGACTATTTGCTATATATATATATATATATATATATATATACATACATATATATGTAACGGAGCCGTCGAAACAGGACGGTTACTGGAAGATATGGTAGGGCGGGGAAGCGAGCTCAATGATTGCGCATGGCCTTCCACTAATAACCTATCTGCATTGCATAAACTTTTCGTTTAGAGAACTTGCGATGGGAACACCGGAAACAAAATGAGGTGAGCTTTTTTGGGCACACTGCTGTTATGAAAGTAGACAGTGAAACAAACAATATTACTAATGATAGAAGACACATACTCTTTAAGAACAGAGAAGAGCTCTGTGATATCTAAACGATTACATACTATATCCACTATATTACTAAAGTCCAATGTGCAACACAAGCAGCCCTGGAACCGTTTGTTCTATGGGGGAAAAGCTCAGCGACATCCTCGAACAAGCTCAGCCCCAGTGGCCGTTATTAGACAGCCAGCAATGCAAATGACGACTCGTTTGGCGCCACAAACGAGAGAACGGTCGCGGAGAATAGCAAAACGAGCGTAGGCGAAGCCTAGGCCAAAATTTGATTATACATATGGTTAAATTAATAGTTAGAATTTTTCAGGTCATAGTGACAGTATAGGCTGCGCATACAGTGCCCAAAATAAGATATTCCAATGCTTTGTCATTTCCTTCGTCCAAATTAAATGGCTGGTTCTTACGCACTATATCTGATCTTTCTATTAGCATGCTCGAATCGTTCGAAGTAAACCAGAAAATATCAGCATTACATTACGATTAGGTTTATAAGTCATATATAACAGATCGGAGTTAATGTAGGTATCTGTTTATAAGAGCCTTATAACCAATCAGCACACTAATTCACACCATAGATAGTATTAAATAGAACTTGGTGTATTTCTTGTTTGTGGCTTGCGTATCTCATGAATAACAATTCGTCTGTACATATATATA